GCGATATCGTGCTCTCCTCTCCATAGAGGGCGTTACCAGTGATCACTACCTATCCCAGCGTGCAACGCACGAGCGATATTTGCGAATAACTCTATAGTTGCTGCACGCCCGTTAAGGACACTGTTAGGGCTACGGAACGGTAACACTGTAAAGGGCATTGCAACATAACTACTCATCAAATTCAATCAAACTCATATTCATTACATACGAGAGATGACTTTTTACGCTCTCGATAAAATTTGATTTTTTATTCATCGCTAATTAATTGACGGCAAAAATTGTGAATTTATACAAAAAAATGCTTTTTTGGCTATTTCTCAGAAACAGCAAAGGGTTGGGACCTAAACTTTTAACCACAAGTTGTTAATAATACGAACTCAAAAATGATCTCTAGAATTTTTTTTAAATGCTTTAATTATAAGTTGGAAAGATGTACAAAAATTTGTAGTGAATTTCTAAACGCAACAATTTCGTAAACAAAAAGCCATAACTCATAAAATATAATACTTAAAAAAATCAACGCACGCACGCAAACATACACCCACCCACCCAGGCACGCACACTACACATACACCCACCCACCCACGCATTCAAACATACACCTACCCACCCACTCATTCGTCAACATAAACCCACCCACGCACGCATGCAAACACACATATACGCGCGTGTATACGCTCGCACTCTCATCCTCACACAGCTCATCCTCACACAGCACATTCGAACACCTAACAAGCAACGCACGCGTACTTCCCACCCGCCTACACGCACAAAAACACTACACACGCACAAAAACACTACACACGCACGCACGCACACTACCTGCAACGCACGCACGCACACTACCTGTACACACGCACGCGCGCATACTACCTGTACACACGCACGCGCGCATACTACCTGTACACACTCACGCGCGCATACTACCTGCAACACACGCACGCGCGCATACTACCTGTACACACGCACGCGCGCATACTACCTGCAACACACGCACGCGCGCATACTACCTGTACACACGCACGCGCGCATACTACCTGCAACACACGCACGCGCGCATACTACCTGTACACACGCACGCGCGCATA